GTCTTTGCATGAAGAACTGTCTCCTGCTGGACATTTCCAGGGCATCTGGGACAAAAAAAAAGCATTTCCATTTTGCCCTCATTGTAGGGGTGAGGGTTTTGCTTACGCAGTTGAGTACAGCTGATGGGGGAAAAGCAGATCATTTGCCTTTCAGAACCTTTCAAGAAACCAGACAAAAAATCCTTAGGAAAGACGGGAATAGTAAATGAGCCACTTTTATCTCTTAAAAAAATAGGAGACAGAGGCATTTCCCGCCTGTGAAATTTTACCAGCAAATTATATGCTCCAGAGTGTTATTGGAAAGAAAGTGTTGCTACACGGCTATTGAACACAGCTTTAATAATAAATTGTGGTGAAGATAGAACTGGTTAATATCCTTTGAAGGAAATCGGAGCTTTTTGTGGCGAGGAACCATTTACTTTGGATTATATCGTAAAAAGTTTTTGTCTGCAATGAAAAGTCTGGAGGCTGGGATTTTCCTTCAGAAGTAGAAGTTTATTTTCTGTTACAGACTATGCGGGTAGTGAATTCCTCTGTCTTCCCTCGCTTTGTTATTCTCTGTTATGCTTCCTACCCTTCTGCTGTGAAACTTTGAAGTTTCCTTGCTCAATATTGATATTTAACGCTGCCCTAATTGGAAGGGGCCAGCAACATTAATCTCCTTGCACGCTCTGTCAGTGCTGGTAGGAAGAGGTTAACAAGCCCAGTGGAAGTTCTGCCTTTCTCCTCTCCCTCAGGAATTGAGTTTAAGACCTTCACAGGGAAGTATTTAATGTGTTTTCATTAAGTCAGGTTTTCGTTTGCCTATTACAGTTTCACTTTCAGACCTCACTTGGTTCTCAGCGTTGACTTTCGTGGGCTGCTCTAGGTGATGCTGGTGCAGAAGGGTGGGTGCCCACGCAGGGTGGGTAGGTGGGCACAGGAGGGTGCAGGGACACGGTGGTGTTGCAGCTGACTGCTTACATTGCTGCTGCCCTGGTCGATGCTCTTGCTGAGAAAGCGCTGAGGGTTTTTTAAAAGTGGCAACTTCTCTAGCACCAGTCAGTTCAATATTTACTGTGAGTATTTGCTTTGCTAAAAGAAAGTAGATTTAAGCTTGTGCTTAATGTTCCAGATACCCTGGATGTTTAGTGGAATCAAAACTTGGTGCTGGAGACGTCTCTCTGCATCGCTCCAAACCAGTCTGTTTTTTTTCCCCTCAATTATTCTTCAAAACTGACTTTTGAGTCAAGTGGAAGTCTCCATGTGGAAAATCGCAGGGAGAGCTCTCAAATGAGCTTTAGCTTGGAGGCACAGAGACCAGAAAGCCACTGGTGGTTGTTGACACAGAATACTCATGACTCTTTGGATGCTGGGGAGTAGATGTACAGTCCCATCTGCTGACCAACCAGGACTGGGAACCTTCTGCAGAAGGAACCACGTTTAGATTTCATACCTTATATGATGGCTCAGTGGGGCTTTCCTTACTGCAAATCCCAAGGAGTTGCAGTGAACCCCCAGCTCTGATGCTCAGGCCCTGGCTGATTTGTGGCTCAGGACTGAGCTTTGTGATGTTATTTTGGTGTCTGAGACGCTCGGGGCTTCTGCACAGCTTGAACGTTGGTGCCTGATGTCTGCCATGGGTTGCTTTTGTGCTTCAACCTGCCTCTGAGTTGGAGATTTCTTTATTTAGTCACCTGTTTTTAGCAGATTTGCAATCTCCAGAAGCTCAGTTTCTCGGTCAGATAGGACTGAAATTGGCCAGTAGGTCTGAACTTGCCACAAGGGACACGGACTGTCAGATACACACAGGTGGTGATTTTCTTCAGGAAACAAAGCTAAAAATAATAATGATTCATAAAAACACTATGGAAAATACTGGTTTTCTGGTGAATGGAACAGGTAACATCCAATTTTGTGTGTTATTAAGCTGCCTCCACATTTTGAGCTCCTGTACAGATGACTTTCTCTGCAAACTGCAATTTAAGACAGTGTCGTCTTTCAAAGCCGGTGCCTGCTGTGGTAAACTGGGAGATTTTATTTTGACAGCGAGATGCTTGCTTGGGAGTTATTATTGAAGAGAACTGATCTTGGGACTTCCAATTATTTTTTTTTCCTTAAAAAAAAAAAAAAAGCTCTCTAAGCATCAAGTGTTTGCCTTTGGGGAGAAACTCTTTGAAGCATGTGTGACCTGGACCCTTGTTTTTTGGAGCAGCTGTGGACCCTCAGCCCAGCCTCCCCCGTGCAGCCGGGTGCCGGGGAGCTGGGCAAGGGGGGGACCCCGGTTCCCGCACCCCGCTGCACCCTGCCAGGGTGGCAGCTTTTATTAAACAGACTTTTATTAAACAGACTTTCATTAAACACCCCCGCGGTGAGCCGTGGTGCGGGGGGAACCGCGTTCCCCCTCCGCACCGCGAGCTGATCCCGCGGGAGCCGTTGGTGCTGCAGGTGCGAGTCCCGGCCGCAGCAATTCCCGTTTGCAATCCCTTCTCCTGGTGCCGTGGTGAAATCCCTGTTTTCTTCTTGCTGCTGTTGTTGCTTTCTTCTTTCTTGAAAAGAAAACCCCAAAGAACGTTAAACTGTGTCTGTGTCTTGGCAACTCGGCTGGGCGAACAGATTGTGCTTCAAAAAAATGGCAAAGTTTCAAAATATTGTATTCTGTGAAGAAGAGACAAGGAAAATAAACTCCCCAAAGTGCAGATTTTATTTCACCAGAAGGCGGAAGGCTTTTAATATTTATTTGGGTTTGGCATTTTGCTACCTAGTTCTTCTGCTGACACCACTTGTGAACCGTGATAAGATTAAATGCTGCACAACCTGTTCTGGTTCACGTTCAAGTTCGGTTAATTGCCAGTAGGTCCCATTTTCACCTTCCCAGAGCTGCCTGAAAGCAGGTTCCTGAGGTTCAGGTACAGCACGTGGGATTGTGCAAGCAAATCCACAAAGGAAAAAAAAAAAAAAGAAAAAGGAAAGAACAAAGCAAATTTGTGCTTGTTTCTCTTTTGATTTTGGTTGTTGTGTGAATGTCGTTGCAGCAGTGTGGATGGATGGTTGATGTGTGGAATATGCCAAGGGATGGCTGGTGAGTGGTAAGAAGAAGAGGTCAGCTCTAGTGCTGAGGAGGCAGTTCCTGCAAACAGCGAATTTGCTTGATTTCCACGTGCAAAATAAGGATGAAGATACTGCTTTCCTTGTGCCCATGGTTGTCTTGTTTGCTGGAACCGCAAGAGGATGCAGGCAGGCTTTTGGAGGCGGAGAGGTCACTGGGATGGCAGACTTAGAAAATGCCAGAGAAAGAGGGTTTTGTTTGCCTGCACTGCAAGACCTGTGTTTTTGAGATTCCTTTTTTAGCTAGAACATGACAACACCAAGAACACTGTTACCCATTTAGCATCCTGTTGGATCCGATGTGCGCTTGGCGTAGCTTGGGCAAGAAATGGTATCTAGAGCATCTTGCACAGCAGGACTCGCTCCTCAGTTGTGCCTTCTGGAGACCTTTGGAGTACAACTAAGAAAATGAGAGGGAAAAGGGTGAAAGAACAGCTCTGCTAACTGTAGAAATTCCTCCACTTGTTTTTAAAATGATTTTTACTTCCTTACAGGCCAGCTTTTACCTCTTGGGAAAACTGAGAGCTGTTCTTCATGCTTCTGAGTGACCTTGCTTCTTTTATTTTGCCTTTTCTGTGTTAGACTGGAAGCTCCTTGGAGCAGAGAATTGGCTGCTTTTTTTATTTTTTTTTTCCTTTTGTAAATTTGCAGCTCTGTTGATTTCTAGTACCGATAGCGAAGTGTGCACAGTGGTTTCCGATAAATTATTTTCCCACAAGGTATCAACTGGGTTGTCGCAGCCTGTGCCATCCTGGAATGACTCTTTGCCAAAAGGAGCGAGCACAATCCTGTCTTTTGGAGCAGATAATATGAAAAAAAAAAAAAAAAAAAGAAAAAGATTGGCAATCTGGATGGATTGCCTAATTGCTTCAAAAAGGTGATTTTTGATTCTGGGTGCCTGCACTTTGATCTAGCACCCCTCTGGCTCTGGGATGTCTGTGACATGAGATTGTGTCAAGAGGAAAAACAAACGTGTATAGGTAAAGTTTGAAAGTGTTGGGAATAGAGAGTAAAACTCATGCTTAAAAGAAAGGCAGTAGTTGATACAAATTGTTAGGTTAAAAATGTTTAACGCCTAAATTAGATGCTTGTGCCGTTTTTGGGGACCAGGGATTTTATGACACAACCAAATGGCCAGATATTTACTTTGGGGTTGTGGTGACATGACTTATGTTTTCAGGTTATTTTATCTGGGAATTCAAAACCCCGTGCTGAAATGTGGCTGTATATGTTTAGTCATAAAAAGGTTCTTGTATTTCTCTGGTCTGCCTGGCTCTCGTGTCTGCCGGCTTGGACCCCCTTTACAGGAGAGCCTGCATTTGGACTGCTTCAGAGCTTGAGCTTCATCCAGCTCAGAAAAGCTTGGCTGGTCAGTGTGAACAGAAACAAATGGCTTTGAAGCCTGCAAACCTAATTCTGCTTTATTTTTGCTGGGTTTGCACAACTTTAATGACCAAGAAACAGAAACGTCCGTTTAAACAGAATCAGAATCTCATTCCTGGGCTTTCAGATTCAATTTTTAAAAGATTTTTAATCCTCCCAGGTTTCTCAGTTATGTATCTGGAGTGGTTTAAAATCAAAGAAACGTTTTAAGGGATCCTAGGTGGGTAGGGCTGACGAAGGAGAAATACCTTTCACTTTGCATTTTCCCATGGCCCGCCTTTGCCAGAGCCCTTGCCTGTTTTCTGTACCAAGTTGGCAGCCAGACCTTGCAGGTCTAAATGAAGCGTTACTGAACAAAAGCACTTTATGTTTTGAACTCTGTGCCTTGAGTCTACACCACCAGCCTGGCCGGGCATTTATGTTAAATAAGGTCAACAAATATAGACAAGCTGTGTTTTGCAAATTAAACCAAAACAAAACAATGAAATAAAATGCCTTTCTTTAATTCTGCCCCTTTTTTTGCTTCGCAGGCAAGAAGAGAAACCCTGGGCTGAAAATTCCTAAAGAAGCATTTGAGCAACCACAGACAAGCTCCACGTAAGTCTGCAAACACTAAGGGAGAATAAAAAGCAAACCACGAACCCCAGCTGCCTTCCAGCCGTCGCTGGCGCCTGCGCTGCCGTGGCCACGGGCCGGTGGCCGGTCATGGCCAGCACCCAGGGCTCATGCTCCCAGCTCTGGGATAACGGGGACCCTTCACAAGGAACGGTGGCAGAACACCTCAGTTAATTTGGGCACCGTTAGGGAGGATAATAACTTAACAGCCCTTATTTCTCTTGTAGCCCCAGGTACAACCAGAGTGTCTCAGCCCATCACCCTCTGCCCACCACTGCCCATAAGACATCTCATGTGCTGCTTAATGATGTGTCCAGGAACAGGAAAAACAGGATGGGCCCCTCATTTTAATCGATGTGGCACTTGTGACACCCAGTTTGAGTAACATGCATTTGGCCAAGGTGTAAAAATGCGTCCCCTTCCCTACGTACTTGGCCTTGCAGAAGAAAACCCTGTGTTTTCAAGGCAACTTGTGCAACTCCAGCCTGCTTGGCTTGCTTTACCTCCTTGAGGATTGACTTTTATTAGCCAGTTAACCTGTGCCGGGTGACTTAGATAATCATTTACAGTGGTTTTAGACCTTTATGCCTGTTGCATCCATTTTTCATACAGGCTGGCAGAGATTTGGTGCTCACCAACTGGCTTGCCTTTCGCAGTGAACCTCTCTGGGTTCCTGCACGGGCAAGTTGGATCTGAGAAAGGCCAATTCCAGCAGCTTCTTTCCTGACCCCTTTTTGGGTGACTTGGTGGATCTCGGCTGTATCTGTTGCTCCTGCAAAGCCAGGAGATGGGTTGGGCTGTGAGGGGACGGCCCGGGGGACCAGGGGGCTTGTGTTTACTCACTGGGGGAAAACCGACCTTCCTAAGGAACATTTCACATCTTTCCCTTTTCTCTCCTGCAGGCCACCCAGAGATCTAGACTCCAAAGCCTGCATCTCTATTGGCGAGGAGGTAAGACTAGGAGTTATGGTGAGGAGAAGACCTCTGGGGACAGGTGACCATCCTGAGCTGGCCACTGCCCAGGCCATCCTGGGCTGCTCATGGGATTGCTTGATTCCAGCCAAAAAAAAGGATAGATTAATAAACACTAGCTATTTAAAAATCGTAGCCCGTTTTGCATGAAATGGGAGGAGGTGGCTGGATGAATAAAAGCTGGGAAGAGCCAGCCTGGGAGCTTGTGTGAGCCCTGGCAGTCACCTGCAGCCTTAGAGCCAGCCATCGTCTGGTGTTTGTGCTTCTCCAGCAAGAGACCGATGGGACCGATGGCCCCAGGGCCAGCTGCAGTGTGACCTGCTGGTTGTCACCACTCTCATGAACTTGCCCGCAAACGCTCAGCCTTTGCATCCCATGACACCTGGGTTCTCTTCATGTTTTCCACCTTGGAAATTCCATCCTTGCCTCGATACAGTGCAGCTAATCCCCTGGAAATAACCATTATAAAACAAGGGGATTGCTAACAGCGGATTTTACTCTCCTTTGCAGTTCCTTTGCTCATTTAAAGAGTTCATCCAAAGTGTTTCCCTTCATTAATATTGAAGGCCATCTCATCAGGAGTCTAACTCAGGCTAGATCTTCCTGTCCAGGAAGCAAATCCTTCCGACAGCATGGAAACCAGTCCATCTGATGTGCTAAAAAAAATAGCGGGGAAAAAAACAAAACTGAGGACAGCTGTTTCGATAGGAGAAAATGGCACAGCAGCATTCCTAAAAGCACTTTAAAGCTGGGCAATAGATTTATTAGGTGCAAAAGATAGGTCTTGGTGTTAACGAGTTAATTTATGGAGTGAAATGCTAATCCAATAGTGGTTTATAGTGCCTATCTTTGGATGCTTTTCTTTCATTTTGGATTT